CTGATAAAGACCGGTCCCAGGCGATATTCATATCCGCCATCATTTGGCCGCGAGCCTCAAACAACAATATCTCACTCTTGAGAACCCACTCGAACTTTGGGTGGCCCTGAGGGAACGGTATGATCACCAGAAAGCGGTGCTCTTGCCACAAGCCAAGTTTGACTGGAAGGAACTCCGGTTCCAAGATTACAAATCTGTGGATGACTACAACTCCGAACTCTTTCGGATAGTTTCAATCATGAAACTATGTGGTGAAGAGGTGTCTGATAATGATCTCCTCGAGAAAACATTATCCACCTTCCATACCCAAAACATTGTGCTTCAGCAGCAATATCGTGCAATGAAACATACATTGTACGAAGATTTGTTATCTTGTTTGCTCTTGGCCGAGAAAAACAACGAGCTGTTAATGAGGAACAGTGCCCAGAGGCCCCCGGGATCGGCTCCAGTACCAGATTCCCGCAAAGAATCGTGGCCGTGGACATGGGAATGGACGTGGAAAGCGTGGACGCGGAAATGGACGTGGCAACCGACATAACCTCGGTTATGGTTCCGGTAAGGGCCGTGGTATCTCTAAACCAAACCGCCCTGCCCACCCAACCAATCAGTCTGCCTGCACCAGTTGCGGAATGTTCAATCACTGGACAAAGAACTGTCGTATTCCCAAGTTTCATTGCGATTTTTATCAGAAACATGGGAAAGCACCTGCTGAAGCTAACATGGCCCTGCAAGTTGATGCTAACGACACCACCATCGAGCCGACCGATCCCATGGACTACGAGATCTCAGATCTCCTCGATTGATTCTATCATCTGAACATGTGTTGTTATCAAACGGCACACATCTGGACATTCCAGATGCATTATACTCACCCAACTCAAAAAGAAACCTTTTAAGTTTTAAAGATATCAGACTTAATGGTTTCCACATAGAAACCCAGGGTGAAGGGAATAAAGAATCCCTACTGATCACTAAGATCACACTTGGCCATAAACAAGTCCTCGAGACTATACCCGCATTATCTACTGGCCTTTACTATGCTAAGGTCAGTATGATTGAGGCTAATAATGCTCTCAAAGCCCGATTCCAAGACTACACTATTTGGCACGACCGGCTTGGTCATCCCGGTACGACCATGATGCGTAAATTAATCCAAAATTCTCAAGGACACACCCTTCGAGAAAACCGAGTCTTCCCTCAGCACCTCATGTGCATAGCTTGTTCCCAAGGGAAGTTGATCACTCGGCCTTCACCAGTAAAAGTGTCCAAAGAGACATTACATTTTCTGGAAAGAATCCAAGGAGACATCTGTGGTCCCATTCACCCACCTTATGGGACATTCCCGTACTTCATGGTACTCATAGACGCTTCGACCCGTTGGTCGTATGTCTGCCTATTGTCTTCTCGGAACCAAGCTTTTGCTAGGTTGTTGGCTCAAATCATCAAATTACGAGCCCACTTTCCAGACTTCCAACTAAAGACTATACGTCTTGATAATGCTGGTGAATTCACTTCCCAAGCGTTTAATGATTACTGTATGGCCATGGGGGTGACCGTTGAACATCCTGTGCCACATGTCCATACTCAGAATGGACTTGCTGAATCATTCATTAAACGAATCCAATCGATTGCTCGACCATTACTCATGAGGTCGAAACTCCCGGTCTCAGCTTGGGGACATGCAGTATTACATGCTGCTGAACTAATACGCATCCGACCATCTAGTGAGCATAGATATTCCCCATCCCAATTATTACAGGGTCATGAGCCAGACATCTCCCATCTCAAAACATTTGGGTGCTCAATCTATGTACCCATTGCTCCACCACATAGAACCAAAATGGGACCTCAAAGGAGGATGGGAATATATGTTGGTTTTGATTCTCCCACCATCATCAAATATCTCGAGCCGACCACTGGAGACCTATTTAAGGCCAGATATGCGGATTGCCAATTTGATGAATCGGTATATCCAACATTGGGTGGAGAGAAACACAAGCTGGTCAAAGAGCTATCATGGAATCAAACATCCTTAAATTGGCAAGATCCTCGAACTCTAGAATGTGATTCGGAGATCCAAAAGATTATACACTATCAAAAGCTAGCTAATCAATTGCCAGATTCCTTTGCTGACCCGAACAAAGTAACCAAATCGTACATACCAGCTTGTAATGCACCAGTACGAATCACTGTTCCAACGGGACAAGTTCAAGTTGCTACAGAGTCTGCATCACGAAATAAACGTGGCAGACCTCTAGGTTCCAAAGACAAGAATCCACGGAAATCAAAGAAAGGTGCAATAGTTGAAACCGGGATTCCCAATATAACAGACATAGCGCGCGCTGAGACTCACTCTAATGAACCACCAGAAGAGGTTCGGGACGCCGAATCTCTAGGTTCTGACGAGATCGATAACAATGAGATCTCTATCAATTACAACATGTCTGGAACCCAATGGAACAGAAAAGAAGTCGACTTAAATGCACTCTTTGCATACAAAGTAGCACTTGATATTGCGAACACGCAAGAGGATCTAGAACCCACGTCTATCACAGAGTGCACTCATAGAACAGACTGGCTAAAATGGAAAGAAGCCATAAACGTGGAGTTAAAGAGTCTCAAACTCAGGAATGTGTTTGGTCCGATCATCCGGACACCATTCAATGTCAAACCAGTGGGCCATAAATGGGTCTTTGTGCGTAAAAGAAACGAACTCGGTGAAGTCGTTTGTTATAAAGCACGGCTTGTAGCACAAGGATTCTCACAGAGACCCGGAATCGATTATGAGGAGACTTATTCTCCGGTGGTGGATGCAACT